AAATGAGCTGAATAAACCCTCTGTTGCAGCATGCTAAACACGTTATTGTGTTTATGGTTGAACGATGAGTAATTATAAAGGGAAGCACAGTTTTAATCTTCAATTTTCAGACCATGTCCCTTGTACACGTAGGCACATTAGACCTAAATGATGCAGTTAACTTTGGCCTTCCCCCAGGATTAGGCAGCAATGTCAATTAACTTAAAAAATTTTTATAAGCTTACATTGTTTGAAATATTTCAAACATATTCCACAAAATGAAATTATGACTAACGCATATTTGCACTGTAGAGCACAATACTGCCCAGTATCTTCTGTGGAGAGGGGGAAAAATACTAGGTAACCATTTTTGGGTGGGGAATGAAGACCAGTTCAAAACGAACTTCATACCCTAGATGTGAAGTAAATGAGAAACAGCACAGACGCTATAATCTGGTTTAGCAGGAGGATATTGCTGAAGCAGCTTCTAGCGTTGACTTCAGTGGTCACCATCTCATTGAAGTGAAATGGGGTTAGCTTCAGAAGCTCACACCCAAGTCAAAAGGCTATGCAGAGGGGGAATTCACATTTGCTGCTGCTATTGTTTGGGCAATTGTCTATATGCAAGGCTAGAAAAATGATGGAGTGGATGCTGGCAGTTCCAGCAAGACTTCAAGCTTTGCAGGGCAGCCACTGCCTCCTGCAGGCCTCCCCTTGAACATGCAAATTCTGCACCCTGTTCTGCCACTAGTTTCGGTATGTCTCCAGCAGCCTACCATCTTTTTGTCTGGTAGAATTGCTGAGGAGAACTCTCCTCACAATTCAAGCCCTCACTATGGCCTGGACTGTGAAGTGCTTGCCTCCCTGAGAAGGAGGTCTGGCCTTTGTGGTCACTGGTGTTCAGTTTCCCTTACTGCTGTATTCTCCTCATTCTGGAAAGATCTCCCCCTTGCTGCTTCCTGCTATTGGAAGGGCAGTCATGTGAGAGCTGTGGGCAGAGAAAATTCATGAAACTTCTCTGTGGGAAGAAACAGAAAAACTCTTCTTAGAGACACTTGTCCGTCCTTCTTTGCCTAGTTTCTCCCTATCCTCCTCTTTCCTGCACCCACCTTAAACCACGACTCACCTACCTTTAAGCCAGTCAAAACAGTGCATTATAGAAAATGTCATGAAGTTGATGCTGTGTACTACAGACGAATCATGACCCATACGTTTATAGTATTCAACATACCAGTTTTTAATGTTAAAAAAGCAATTATGCTTTTTTAAGGTGCAGACTTTTAACTCTTTTGCACAAATACTTACGCTGTTTGTGTTAATATTCTACTTCAGTATCTAAGAAACTGAGGACTTGATCCTGCACCATTGAATTGTACAGGAGCAGGCGTAGGCTCTGAGCACCTAATGTTTTCTAGTCACTATACAGACAAGTAGAGGGGAGGCGGAAAGAGTCACTCCCAGCTCTGAAGATCTTGCAATCTTAAACCAAATTACAGATATAGAGAGGGGGAGGGACTTGCAAGTTTGTTCTAAGTAATCTATCCCTTGCCAAAATTTTAATTTAATGCCCTGCGTAGCTGCCACTATTGTGATTTGTTAGCTAATCTCAATGTATTGTCCCTTGGAATTTTTTTTGTCACTCTTGACTTTATTAATTTTTAAATATTTAACCCTTTTCTATTTTCTTAAACTCTTGGCTGTTCTAGAAATCCCAAAAGAAGACAAAAAATAACTTAAACTTTTCATAAACAATATTTTGGTAATTTAATCTTTCAAAATCTCAAATCTGTAGAATAAATCAAATCACTAGTGCAATTTAAGAAAAATCTTTAGTTTCTTTAAGAAAACTTTGCCCTAGTTATCTTTAAATGGTTCTGTTTAAACAGGAAAGACCAACCAAAATAGATTTTCAGAGTAGGAGCCGTGTTAGTCTGTATCCGCAAAAAGAACGGGAGTACTTGTGGCACCTTAGAGACTAACAAATTTATTTGAGCATAAGCTTTCATGGGCTACAGCCCACTTCATCGGATGCATGCAGTGGAAAATACAGTAGGACAATTAGGATGATTTTGTAAATTTGTTAGTCTCCAAGGTGCCACAAGTACTCCTGTTCTTTCAACCAAAATAGGTTATTCCAATTATCCACTTGGTTTAGCTATGCACATTGAGAGCCTTCACCCAAAACAAAAAGAAAAGGAGTACTTGTGGCACCTTAGAGACTAACCAATTTATTTGAGCATGAGCTTTTAATGGCCCAACTTGATGATCACTTTAGATAAGCTATTACCAGCAGGAGAGTAAGTTTGTGTGAGTATGGGGGTGGGGGGGTGAGAAAACCTGGATTTGTGCTGGAAATGGCCCACCTTGATTATCATGCACATTGTAGGGAGAGTGCTCACTTTGGATAAGCTATTACCAGCAGGAGAGTGAGTTTGTGTGTGTGGTTTTTGGAGGGGGGTGAGGGAGTGAGAGAACCTGGATTTGTGCAGGAAATGGCCCACCTTGATTATCATGCACATTGTGTAGAGAGTGGTCACTTTGGATGGGCTATTACTAGCAGGAGAGTGAGTTTGGGTGTGGGGGGGCGGAGGGTGAGAAAACCTGGATTTGTGCTGGAAATGGCCCAACTTGATGATCACTTTAGATAAGCTATTACCAGCAGGACAGTAGGGTGGGAGGAGGTATTGTTTCATGGTCTCTGTGTGTATATAATGTCTTCTGCAGTTTCCACGGTATGCATCCGATGAAGTGAGCTGTAGCTCACGAAAGCTCATGCTCAAATAAATTGGTTAGTCTCTAAGGTGCCACAAGTACTCCTTTTCTTTTTGCGAATACAGACTAACACGGCTGTTACTCTGAAACCTGTTCACCCAAAAGAGTGACATCTAGTGACGGAAAACTAAAAAACTAGATTTGCTGTTTGTGAGGTTAATATATCATACTATTTTTTTCCCCAGTGTGTGTGTATAAACTTAATAAACTGATTCACACTGGACTGCAGGTTTATATTTTTGCTGCTTTAGACTCCTTTCTTCTTTTTTTTTTAACCAAAGAGAAAAAAGTCTCACCTTTCAACAGATAAAGTAGATAAAGCGGACACTACGATAGCGCAGTAACTCCTTATCACTTATTGGGGTCAGATGTTTTGTTCTCGCCAACTCTCTACAGTGAGTGTCCCCAACATTAGGCCACACTGTACTCTCTCAATGGGCATTTCTGATTGCAGATGAGTGGCTTTGGGTTGCAGTAGTAAGGTGGATGTAGTTCTGGACTGAGGCTCTGAATGAAATGATATATCTGTATCTAACATCTACTTTCTTGAGAATAAGACTTCTGTGGCAGAGTGATAACTTTAATTGCCTCTTCAGCCCCCTGCCTTTCTTTAAGTGTTGCCCTCGTAGGCATTGCTTTAACTAAAGCTACCTTTTACAGTGAAATGGAGCCAGGAGTGAGTGACACATTCTGCAACAGGCTCCAACTAAGCATGTATGCAGGATATTGCACATGCCAGCTTATGTTGTTCCAAGGTCGTTCTAGACAAGAGGAATATAGCAGGTATCAGTGTGCTTCAATCAACACTTTGGCAATTTGTGCCTTTGCAGGGTAAAGATCTCTTCTACTTCTAGTGGCTAAGGAACTAAAACTGTGTATCAGACAAAGTATATCTAACACAGACAATATTACATTACTCAAATTACTTGGAATTTTATATCCCCACACTGTGGAGTATGTTTGTGATAAGAGTGCATGTTCCTTGAAAACAATTTACAGATTTTTTTTCCAGTAAATGTGGTTCTAATCACGCAGTGTAAACATATCCTAGCTTCACAATTATAGTCATTCGTTGCTGCTTTTGGGGACAATACACCTGTGGACTGATGTTATGGAAGCACAAGTCAAATGCAAAGATTTACCATGTCATTTAAGTTCCATCCTGCCTGCAGGATTGATCCCTACTCTGTCCCATGTTTTGTCCATTCTGGTGTTAAATAAGTAATGCACTGTGCCCTTGCCGCTCAGTGACTTCTCTTGGAAGATTATGGTACAGTCCTTTGGATTTTCTCAGAGGGAAGTCTATCGTAATATTCAGCCTACATTCTCTCTCATCCTATTATTCATTAGTCTACTGCAGGGGTTCTCAAACTGGGGGTCATAACCCCTCAGGGTTGCAAGGGTATTATGTGGGAAGTTGCGAGCTGTCAGCCTCCACCCCTAAACCCTGCTTCACCTCCAGCATTTATAATAGTGTTAAATATAAAAAATGTGTTTTTAATTTACAAGGGGTGGGGGGTCTCACTCATAGGCTTGCAGTGTGAAAGGGGTCACTCATACAAAAGTGTGAGAATGACTGGTCTACCCTTTTTGGCTTATCATCAACGGTTAGTCACCCTCCTTGGGGAGGGTCATTACTGTATTCCATACTTGGTCCTGATTTAGGTAAACTATATGTTACACTCCCAGACCAGGGATGGTTTTAAAACTGGAGTCTTATTAAACTTAAAATAAAAACCTCACCAAACAGCTTGCACAAACCCCAGTGCTGCTGAATCTCTGACCACCCACCAAACTACAACTACATCCTGCTTCCCCAAGTGTCCCCTTTGGCCTCCAGTCCTTAAAGGGACAGACTGCTGGCGTTCTTTATGAGAGCTACACTACCCCCTCATAAATGTAAAGTTGGCCTGACATAGCCATTAACCCATAGAACATTCAGTCCAGCCACCTGACTTTGAGCATTATGAAACTCATAGACTACTGCTACTAACAGTTGTTCTCAGGCGACTCTGTCATCTTTCACAGCTGCTGGCACTGATGGTGGAAACATCTGCATCTCTTAAGATTATTTCACATTCAGCAAGAATTTTTTGTGACAAAAGTGGCTCCATTATCCAACAAGAGAGGCAGTTCTGAACAGTTTAAATTCCCAAAGATTTTATATCTTATAACAATTCTTATATGATAAATGGTGCAACAATAAAACTCCAAAACATGAAGCATAGGGCGAGCTATTGTGAAAAAAAATCTCCTAAACAGACACAATAAATTATATAGAACCATAAAACATTTGAGGGCAATATCCTCACCATTAGTCAATATCACTTCATCTACCACTATTACATCCATCTTGGATAGAATACAGGATAAGGTACAGAAACAGGTACTTGGTATGGAATCTGGCAACCATGAGGCTAGCCCCATGGCACATTCACCAGACTGATGATTGGACTTAGATATTGATCAGTTAGCATCCCTCAATATTTACGTCAGTGTCTTTGGGGTGCTTCTTTCTCCAGATGGACAAACTTGAGTGTTAGTGGATTGTTCTGGTGATCTGTCCACTTGTGCACTTCTGGTTTCAGGTTCCATGGTCTCATTTTAGCAATCACATCTTTTCAACAGCTCATATGAATCTCACATCAGTCTGATCAGCAGTTTCCATGTGTACAGGATCAACATCTTTATTTCTCAGATACCATCAGATGATGTATTTGATTTTCACTCCTGATCTTAGAATCACTGGAGGCTGAAGTCCTGTCCTCATTTTGATCTTACTGCACTAGTTTGTCCTGTTCTGTGTCTTTCCTCCATGGTGGTTTAGCAGCTGGAATTATATCAAAGGGGAAGAAGACACAGAAAAATAAAAGACTGAAATGAAGAACTAACATCCTTTTTCATCTTCTACCTCTACTTCATAGACTTGCATTATCCCCTTTCCTTTTAAGTAGTACATTAATTTTTTTCTTCCCAATAGGATCTTAAATAGCCTGGTCCCTCTCTTAGACAGATTCCTGACAAGTATCCTTTCACTTGGTAAGAGGGTGATTCTTATCAAAAGTAGGTGATTTCTGAGAATATTTTGATGCCAGTTCATAGGTAAAAAACTTGTTTTGGTCCTCAGGTGCAGATTCAAAGTTTTTAAGTAAATGTGATGTCAATGGGCAAACGTGAAAATCTTCCAAATAATAAATAGAAAGGTGAGATTCCTGTAGCTTCATCATGTCATGTATAAATATAGGGATAGATTACTCTAAGGAAGTTCTAGTTTGATTTGTTTTTTTCTAGCAAGGCCCTCACCATAGCCAGAAGAGTTTAGCTTAACCTTTCTACTTGCCCATTTCCCCATGAGTGGTGAGGGGTTATCTGAGGTGTTTCAATTTTGCAGTAGTGCTCTAACTTTCCGAATATATGTTCAAACTCTGCACTTTGGTCATGATGAATCCTTTTGGGGAAACCAATTTTAAAAACTGTAGTTGAAGATCTTGTCTACCACAATCTTGCCTGACTTACTGGTGGTAAAGTAAGTATGGACAGACCTAGCAAAGTAATGGTAAAGTAAAGATGTAAGACGTTTATTGATACAAACTCAAAGGGCTCAGCTGTAATGGTGCAGACTGCTGAGGTTTCTTTTGCTTAACACATGAACAGACTCTGGTGACAATGTTCAATGTCCCTCATCATCTGCAGTCAATGGAACCGACCTCTTGTGAGACTGATTATTTGCTCTACTCCGAGATGTCCCATCTCTTCATGTCGTTCTTAACATACTTGCTTTTGGGATTTTCCATGTAATACCAGTTGATTTCTTGACTTGGCTTTCTGAGGAAATAGACTATCTTTATCCAAATGCAACAGATGCCATTCACGCAACAAGGTAGAGAACTTACCATTCTCCCATGTGTAGAAAGAATAGTAAATATGGCAGGCGACCAGCTTGGCTTAACAGTGAAATCCTTGCTGATCTTAAACACAAAGAAGAGGTTTACAAGAAGTGGAAGATTGGACAAATGACCAGGGATGAGTATATAAATATTGCTCAGGCATGTAGGAATGAAATCAGGAAGGCTAAATCACACCTGGAGTTGCAGCTAGCGAGGGATGTTAAGAGTAACAAGAAGGATTTCTTCAGGTATGTTGGCAATAAGAAGAAAGCCAAGGAAAGTGTGGGCCCCTTACTGAATGAGGGAGGCAACCTAGTGACAGAGGATGTGGAAAAAGCTAATGTACTCAATGCTTTTTTTGCCTCTGTCTTCACGAACAAGGTCACCTCCCAGACTACTGCACTGGGCAGCACAGCATGGGGAGGAGGTGGCCAGCCCTCTGTGAAGGAAGAAGTAGTTCGGGACTATTTAGAAAAACTGGACGTGCACAAGTCCATGGGGCCGGATGCGTTGCATCCGAGAGTGCTAAAGGAATTGGCGGATGTGATTGCAGAGTCATTGGCCATTATCTTTGAAAACTCATGGCGATCGGGGGAAGTCCCGGAAGACTGGAAAAAGGCTAATGTACTGCCAATCTTTAAAAAAGGGAAGAAGGAGGATCCTGGGAACTACAGGCCAGTCAGCCTCACCTCAGTCCCCGGAAAAATCATGGAGCATGTCCTCAAGGAATCAATTCTGAAGCACTTAGACGAGAGGAATGTGATCAGGAACAGTCAGCATGGATTCACCAACGGAAAGTCATGCTTGACTAATCTAATTGCCTTCTATGATGAGATAACTGGTTCTGTGGATGAAGGGAAAGCAGTGGACGTGTTATTCCTCGACTTTAGCAAAGCTTTTGACACGGTCTCCCACAGTATTCTTGTCAGCAAGTTAAAGAAGTATGGGCTGGATGGATGCACTACAAGGTGGGTAGAAAGTTGGCTAGATTGTCAGGCTCAACGGCTAGATTGTCAGGCTCAATGGCTCCATGTCTAGTTGGCAGCTGGTATCTAGCGGAGTGCCCCAAGGGTCGGTCCTGGGGCCGGTTTTGTTCAATATCTTCATTAATGATCTGGAGGATGGTGTGGATTGCACCCTCAGCAAGTTTGCGGATGATACTAAACTGGGAGGAGTGGTAGATATGCTGGAGGGTAGGGATAGGATACAGAGGGACCTAGACAAATTGGAGGATTGGGCCAAAAGAAATCTGATGAGGTGCAACAAGGACAAGTGCAGAGTCCTGCACTTAGGACGGAAGAATCCAATGCACCGCTACAGACTAGGGACCGAATGGCTCGGCAGAAGTTCTGCAGAAAAGGACCTAGGGGTTACAGTGGACGAGAAGCTGGATATGAGTCAATAGTCTGCCCTTGTTGCCAAGAAGGCCAATGGCATTTTGGGATGTATAAGGAAGGGCATTGCCAGCAGATCGAGGGACGTGATCGTTCCCCTCTATTTGACACTGGTGAGGCCTCATCTGGAGTACTGTGTCCAGTTTTGGGCCCCACACTACAAGAAGGATGTGGAGAAATTGGAGAGAGTCCAGCGAAAGGCAACAAAAATGATTAGAGGTCTGGAACACACGACTTATGAGGAGAGGCTGAGGGAACTGGGATTGTTTAGTCTATGGAAGAGAAGAATGAGGGGGGATTTGATAGCTGCTTTTAACTACCTGAAAGGTGGATCCAAAGAGGATGGATCTAGACTATTCTCAGTGATAGCAGATGACAGGACAAGGAGTAATCGTCTCAAGTTGCAGAGGGGGAGATTTAGGTTGGATATTAGGAAAAACGTTTTCACTAGGAGGGTGGTGAAACACTGGAATGCGTTACCTAGGGAGGTGGTGGAATCCCCTTCCTTAGAAGTTTTTAAGGTCAGGCTTGACAAAGCCCTGGCTGGGATGATTTAGTTGGGATTGGTCCTGCTTTGGGCAAGGGGTTGGACTAGATGGCCTCCAGAGGTCCCTTCCAACTCTTTCATTCTATGATTCTATGATTCTCTTGGCTATTAGGCTTGTGCCCCAAGGACTTATGAATAATTTTAGCAGGAGCCGGAACTTGGTTTTGGGCTACGAAAATGTGTTCTCATGGAATAGGACTTAGACTAGATGTAATGTCCATGGAGAAGCCTTCTACCATGAAAGGGGTGGTAGTAATAGCTGCTAAGATAACTTGCCATCTCCTTCTACCTCCAAGAACTATAAGACATCATTAACATAATCTTTGCTTATCTCCTGTGTGTATTGTGTCATTTCTCCATATTAAGAGGCATTCTGGATCATAGAATCATAGAATCATAGAATATAAGGGTTGGAAGGGACCCCAGAAGGTCATCTAGTCCAACCCCCTGGTCGAAGCAGGACCAATTCCCAGTTAAATCATCCCAGCCAGGGCTTTGTCAAGCCTGACCTTAAAAACCTCTAAGGAAGGAGATTCTACCACCTCCCTAGGTAACGCATTCCAGTGTTTCACCACCCTCTTAGTGAAAAAGTTTTTCCTAATATCCAATCTAAACCTCCCCCACTGCAGCTTGAGACCATTACTCCTCGTTCTGTCATCTGATACCATTGAGAACAGTCTAGAGCCATCCTCTTTGGAACCCCCTTTCAGGTAGTTGAAAGCAGCTATCAAATCCCCCCTCATTCTTCTCTTCTGCAGGCTAAACAATCCCAGCTCCCTCAGCCTCTCCTCATAACTCATGTGTTCCAGACCCCTAATCATTTTTGTTGCCCTTCGCTGGACTCTCTCCAATTTATCCACATCCTTCTTGAAGTGTGGGGCCCAAAACTGGACACAGTACTCCAGATGAGGCCTCACCAATGTCGAATAGAGGGGAACAATCACGTCCCTCGATCTGCTCGCTATGCCCCTACTTATACATCCCAAAATGCCATTGGCCTTCTTGGCAACAAGGGCACACTGCTGACTCATATCCAGCTTCTCGTCCACTGTCACCCCTAGGTCCTTTTCCGCAGAACTGCTGCCTAGCCATTCGGTCCGTAGTCTGTAGCTGTGCATTGGGTTCTTCCGTCCTAAGTGCAGGACCCTGCACTTATCCTTATTGAACCTCATCAGATTTCTTTTGGCCCAATCCTCCAATTTGTCTAGGTCCTTCTGTATCCTATCTCTCCCCTCCAGCGTATCTACCACTCCTCCCAGTTTAGTATCATCCGCAAATTTGCTGAGAGTGCAATCCACACCATCCTCCAGATCATTTATGAAGATATTGAACAAAACCGGCCCCAGGACCGACCCTTGGGGCACTCCACTTGATACCGGCTGCCAACTAGACATGGAGCCATTGATAACTACCCGTTGAGCCCGACAATCTAGCCAGCTTTCTACCCCCAGGATAAAGCATCTGCCTCCATATTAGATTTCCCCTGGAAAATATTTCACTTTGAAATTAGTCAGCTAACTCTGCAACCCACCAGTGTGCTGTGGCATTCAGCCTTGCAGAGGTGAGAAATGTAGGTTAAAAGCTTATCACTATAACTGTGCAGGATTTTGCTTAGTAGAGGTAATCAACAAAATGTCAGTTACAGTCCTTTTCAGAGTTAGACACTCCACTTTTCCTAAGTGAAGGTGGTAATTTTTAGCTGGTATTCTTTATCCATAACCAATAACAAGTACCTCAAAGTGGACTATGGAACTTTTAGTGCTCAGTAGCAGGGCCCACGCATCCAGTTAGTGTGTGGCAAGCTGGTGCACTGTAGATTTATAACCTGGCTTCCTGTGCATGAAGTCTCCATGTAGACACGCTCTTAGTTTACTTTCCTGACTTTGATATAAGAATTAAGACTGTATCTAAGCCCTTATTGGAAATATCTACATGTAGGATAAAGAGTAAGGCAAATTTGGAATAGGCTATTATTGGTGGCCATCCTAGGCAATCAATCAGC